TAGTCCAGTGGTTATTAGCCTTTTTTGCTGCATGCCCCACCTCGACACCTCAAAACTATTGATACCCCTTTATTATAAAAACAAATTTGGTGTTGAAAAGGTATAATAATAATATAATGTAAAATTTATAAATTTACCAAAATTTCACACCCAAATGAAAATATTTTTCTTATTGTAGCATTTTCAAATTGCCCTCTCGTGGGGCGTGTGCCCCGTGTTCAGAATCACTGGTCTAGTCTATCACCGATAAATTATGGACGGCTAGTGCAAATAGCCCTCGTGTAGCTTTGCGCGAAATTCCAAAGCAAGCGAAACTTATGACAGGAAGGATAACAAAATGTACCGGTATTATTACTGGACAATCATGGCTCATAAATCATTGTGTTATAAATATTGTTTTTTCCTAATGCAAATTGAAATTGATCAAATTTTATGTTGTTGTTGTTTTGTAGTTTTCTATTTGTTTTTTGTTTTGTTTTTTCGAATTATGCAATATAAATGATTTTAGCACTAACATTAGAAACTTGAAAAGTACAAAACGATATTTGAAAATTGAAGATTACTAAATCACATGTAATCTATGAACTTTCGATTGTAGTTTCGCTTTTATAGAATTGTGGCTCTTTATAAGCATGAAATTTTAAATACAAATCTCTCTGTGCTTTAATATTAAAATTGATAATATCAAGATATGATCAGTGGCGGCGCCACCTGTTATTAATCTAACCCCACAAAATGTATAGTAAATCACATCGGACAACAGAAGTTCCGCTTTCCTTTCCGTAAGCTTACAATCTTTATGTTATTTTTTTCTTGAGTTTTTATTTAATTTTTTGTTCAGATCTGGCGTTTTCTAAGCTCGTTTTAAATACATTAAATTTGTCCGTAGTTCGGTTTGATGCTACCTTTATTTTAAATGGGTCAGTATGGCAAATTTTAGAACGGATTATAACAAAGTAGGTTATACTTGCTAGCAGAACCCAATATTTGGGATATGTATTTGTAATATGCTTCCTAGTAATTTTAATCAGAACTGTAATTACTCTGACTAGTTGCCCCCTCCCCCCAGTGGCACAGCGGTATGTCTGCGGACTTACGACGCTAGAATCCGGGTTTCGATACCCGTGGTGGGCAGAGTACAGATAGTCCATTGTGTAGCTTTGTGC